AAGCACGATGCCACTCGCACCGATTCTGAAAAAACTTCTCCCCACAGCCTGAATTGCAGCGTTCCCTGGCCACAGACGGCCATGTCCTTGCCATCAGCTGTAACTGCCCGGGAAGAGTCTGTCTCCCACACGCCGCCGTGTTCCTCGAACCACTCTCGGTCGACCCACACAGAACGGGCCCCGGTGTCGAGAGGCACCCAGAGGGCGTCTTTGCCGACCTGCACCCGTACTGCGACATCCTCGCCCCCACCAGGACTATCCCCAACGCAGCGGCACACTGCCTCAGTCTCAGGTGGCCTTGCCGCTGGGGCTCTAGTCGCTAGTTCCGGTGGGGCGTCTGCCCCTCGCGACCCAAGGTGCTCGCCCTCCCTTTTCCCGTAGCTGTCAATTCTTTGCTCCGAGACCTGGGGGGCTTCTCCGGACAATCGGCTGCGAGATGACCCTTGATCCCACAGCGATAGCATTTCGCGGTTTCGATCCAGTCCGCTGATTGGCGGACCCGTGCGTGAGACCCAATCGGGTTGACGACTGCACGATCCCCGTCTGCTGGGGCTTCCGATGTCTGCTGCACGCGCTCATGCCGGAAGCGCGTCCGGCCGGCTTCGGGTGCTCTTGCCAAGGCCATCATGGATATGCGTGCCGTGACTTCGTCAAAAGTACCAGGGATAGACAGTGCCAAATTTCGCATGTTGGCGGGGAGCGACTGCACGAAGCGATCCAGCATGATCTCGTCTGAGATCACGTTGGGCAACATCAGAGCGTAAGCGCGCACACGGCCTGCAAAATCACTGACGGTCTCCTTGCCCTCCCGCCAGGCGATCGTGTCAAATTGTAACCGAAGAGCCCTGCGATGACTGGAATTACAGAGCCTTGGTCCCAGTTCCTTCCACAGGTCTTCTTCCGAAGATTCCAAGTTCTCAGCGGCAACTACCTCGTAAATTGCCAGAGCGCTTCCTGAAAATGCACAGGGAAGAAGACGCCGGTGGGTTCCGGCTATAACCGGAAAATCATGACAGAGGCGCGTCCATGCCTTCTTCGCAGCAAAAAAATTGCCGTCTCCAGGTGTGTTGATTCTAACAGCTTCCAGTGCCATCGAGTAGATCTTGAAGGCGGCATGGGGGTCTAGAGGGTGTGGCTTTTTGCGTTCTGCCTTGGTTGCGCGTACGCACTCGGCGATTCGGGCAGACTCACCTTTCTCCTCAGACTCCTCAGCCACGGCTCCTTGCCCGCCGATGCCTCGGTCAAGTCTTATACACGTCTCGACCGCGACGCTGAGGTTCGTGACGGACTCCCCGACCTGTACCACAGCAGCCGTGTTCTTGTTCAGATGTTCCAGTATCTTGCCTAGGACATCATTAAAGGAAGCTAGGGTGTCAAACAGTCCCTTGTTGGACTGATCCTCAGACTCGCGATAGCTCCGTCTTGCTGCAGCGGCGGCGGGACCTGCAGGAGTCACCGGGCTGGTGACACCGTCCATCGTCGCACGCCCATCTCCACCAGCTGGACCTTGCTCTGGTTCCATCTTGTCTTCGGCGTCCGATCTCGTATCGGCCCTTTGACCAGAATCCATTGCCGATGCAAGTTTTTGTCTCGTTGCTCGGCTGACTGCACTTACAAATTTGTAATGTTGTGCCCGATAAAATGAGCACCGTCAAATCAGGATTTATTTCGTATCCAGAGGTTGCTGCCGAGAGTCCACTCGGAATCCACGGGAATCCACCCGATATCAGCCCCTCTCCTCTGTTTCTCAGGAATCCACCTGATGCCCCCGTTCTCCTTTTTGCTCCCCGATCCCCTCCTTTATACTACCTATCCTACGCGGCGCGCCTTCCCGCCCCCCGGGCGCTGTCCCTCGCGTCTCGCTTCAATCCATTCCCGCCTTCCGTCGGCCCCCTCAATCACCCCATTTCCGTCCTCTTTCCTTTCGCGCCTTGCCGCCTGTTTCCCTTGGCGTCGCCCCGCCATTTCCTTTCGATCCCTCAAGCTCCACTACCCTGTTGGCCCACGCACTGCCCATTACCACGACCGTTTCCCTTCGCAGCGAACGCCGCCCATTCCCGAAACTGACACCGCCTGCCACGTGTGTGTAGGCGCAACAGTACAGTACATGCACGTCGCAAGCCGTGTGCCGGAGCACGCAGCGGGGCCGCCGCCATCGAGGGATCCGCCCGGTGTCAATCCGGGTTTGGCGGCGGGGCGGGGCGGGTGAAGGGAGGGGCGTGCGTGCACGGCACGGCGGCGTGACGTGAGTGGATTCACGGCGGGCGGGGCCGGGCAGCCGCGGGGCAAGCGGGGCGCGGCAACGCGGACACGCGCGGCGCCGTGGGTGGGTGGTGCGGGCCGCGACGTGCGTGGCGCGGCCGTGGCAAGGCGTGGCAAGTCGTGGCAAGTCGT